AACATAAAAGAGAAATACAGATACCTAAACGTGTTAATTTCCACATATCCAGACAGGGTTATCAAACTAACATTATACGCAAAATCCATAAATATTTTCACATGTGTTTTATCAGTTTTCATTCATGACGCAGACTGATTCTATATTTAGTCATAAACTAAGCTGTTGCACCTGAATGCATCACAGTGTCTTTTCATTACCTGACTCCGACACATACCTGGTAAACTTTGTGTGTTAGCATCTGCTAGTACTGACAGACTGAACTCTGGGAGTCTGTGGACATGTTTTAAAGATCCCATCTCTGGTGGCCACGCCACGCTTTTACTGGTTATCATCACTTCCTCCAGATGTGTGAAGATGAACTCAAGTCGCCTCAGTCTCTGTCTCCATAACAACCTGTGTCCGGTTATCTTGTTTTGTTTCACTTTTGCCTTTAGGCTGGTTATGGGCCTCAGTTTGCCTGGGTTTCCCCTTCATTCAGTGTTTAAGTTATTTTTTTTACATTCTTAGCTGTTTCTGCTGCTTCCCCTATGGATCTCGTAGGTCTCCATCTTCCCTTTCTGCTTTTTCTTAGATTTGATTTTATACTGGCCTTTAAGTTTGGTTTTAGTTTTGGTTCATGTTTTACTCTCAATCAACTTTCCACCTCTGGCTTAAATCCAGCTTTTAAACTGTTTGGACTGGACTCTGTTCATGGAGTGGTGACAGCTTGGGCATATCAATTTTTATTATTAGCAGCCATAAGGGCTCAGCTAATACTTGTAATTTAAGTTGTGTTTTAGTTAGTTTGAAAAAAACTCACCAGCCTTGTGCAGTAGCGAAAAAAATAAATTAGAAAAACATTAAATGAAAGCAAACAAAATGATGAAACTAGAAAGAAAGGATATTTCAAATGCAGCATCCTGTGTTTTTTAAATGAGCCATTTGCTGCGTATGAGCAAGGCTCAATGGCCTTCTGGAAATAATACTCATGATAAGAGGCTACTGTAATTCCTGTTTAATGTCAAAGTACTCACAGAGATTACTTCTATCTGGACGAAAAAAATATTTATTCTGCAGTCTACAAATTGTTCATTGACACAAAGATGGCAGTGACAGAAATTTTTTTGCACAGTGAGTGGGTTTGCAAACAGTTTTTCAGGCAAATAAAAAGCATTTCAGTGCCTGTGTACCTTCTTGTAAAAAACAGTGTCACACAAATACAAGCATGTAAAATGCATGATCAGCTTATTTATTTCAGGTTCTCCAGCGTCTACGAGTGGAAACAGACTGGGATCAAAAGTAGCTGGATATGTATGTGGAAAAAAAACATTTCTGTCCTCATAAGAAACAATCTTTCGCTAGGAATTATTTTCAGTTTAAGAAAATCAAAATTAAAGTTAGATTTTGCCTTATATTTGCCTCAATCGAAGTCAGTCTGTGTCTGTAAATCCAGGCAAACAGGACAATACACAGCAAAGAACAGCCGAGCCAGCAGCAGAAAATCAACTCAATATGTTTATTTTTTCATAAACAAATATTTTCTGTTTGGGTTTCACTATGGATATGAACATATTGATAAGATGATGCCACAAAACTAATGGTAATGTAAAAGTAACAGTAATATGTTCGTATAAACATATGTATCAGGAATATAAATTGTCTTTTAAAAAGTCCAGAAGGTCTCAGGTGAAATTCCTTCTGAGGAATAAATAGTTTCAGTCGTCTCTGTATCATTATTTAAAAGAATAATGTCAGCTGCATCAGCTTCAGCACATCAGGACACTTTACTTTGGCAGAACAACCTTTTCAAGTGTTTAGAAATTTCCTTCATTTTCAGCCCATAGATGATAGGATTGAAGAGAGGGTGATACAAAATGACTTGCACGGTCATTATCAAGCGCAAAACATTTGAAAAGTTGGATCCCAGTCGGACTATGATGACATCAAACGCACACAGACAGGAAAAACTGATTAAAACCAGCAGGTGGGGCAAACATGTCTGCGCCGCTTTCTTTCTCACTTCTTTGCAGCTTCGATAGGATATCACAAGTATCCTGGTGTAAGTAAAAACTATGAAGAGCAGAGGGAAGAGGGCGGTCATGATCAAGATAAAAAAGCCAAACACTGACCGAACTTGGGAGTTCTCACAATGAAGACTGTAAATTGCATTGTTACATAATATTCCATTCAGATTAGATCTGCAAAGTTTCATGTTAGAACTCAATATTACTTGCACGGCAATCTGACAAGCAGGCAAGAGCCAAGCTAAAATAAGGGAGATATTCACGGTGGTTTTGGTCATAATGGTGGGATATTGCAGAGGTTTGCATATGGACACGTACCTGTCGTAGGCCATGGCTGCCAGCAGCAAGAACTCCGAAGCTCCTAAAGTGTAAAACATAAAGAACTGCAAGAGACAGGCTGACCACGACGTGACCTGTTTATAGGACAGAAAGTCTGCCAGCAGCTTGGGGTAGATGTTGGCGCTGAACACGACAGAGTTCATCAGCAAAGCTGCGATGAAAACGTACATGGGCTCGTGGAGGTTTTTCTGCGTCCAGATAAGGCAAAAGATGGTGAAGTTACAGACAATTATCAAGATAAATGCAGTCAGCATGGCAAAAAAATAAAGATATCTGAATTTCTGCAGCTCCACGTGCCCGCCAAAAGTAATAAATGTTGTATTCAGATTAACATCCATTTCTGTTTTTTTTTAAGTCATGACATAGAAAAACAAGGTACAGTCAAATCACATAATAAACAGAGACTGCATGAATTTATAAAATTACATTTTGACCAATGAGTGAATAAGGAAGTAAAATGTGCTTTGTGTGTGGTCCCCTCCAAAAATCCAGTAGCTAAATGGTTTGAGTGAGCTCAAAGTTTTTGAAAGGTTTCATCACTCTCTGTGGAGCTCATTAAACTCCAAATTGAACAGGGTAGGAACTTTATGAAACTTGGAGCTCTCAGGACGCGCCTAAATTTGTTTGGCACGTCACGCATACCTGCTCATCTCCCTGATGTTTTCTTGTTTTTTTTAACTAACTTGATCTGGCCGATCAGATGTTTCACCTGAGCAGTTCTAACCTGTAAAGTTTAAGGCCTCAAAGTATACAAATGAGTAAATATGTAAAGACACAGCAAGCTGTGTTGAGTATACAGGTTCAAATGTGTAGCAATTAAGTGTTATCTCAATCTTGGGAAAATACCTTTATTAGTTTAATAAAAATATTCAAATTCAATATAAGTAATGACAATGTACCTAAGCCTGAATGTGGTTTAAGTTAAAAAGTTTAACTTAAACCTTTCTCTCCTTTAAGTCTGACCCTAAGCTTATTTATTTTCAGGCATAAAGGTACAAAAACTTTATTAAATCTAAATCTTTTGCACAGATCAGTAGTATTGGAGAAGTCCTAAGTCCATGTAACACTATCTTATCTTATTTTGAGTTTGTCATCTACACATGCTCTGTCTTTACATTATACCATGTTAGGCTATGGCTAATTTCAGACCACTTTATTGTGTATTTAATAATTTTACATGTTTTCTATCAAACAAAGTCCAGAGGTTCTTCCAAACCCAAGTGAAATTCATTTTAAGGAATAAATAGTTTTAGCCTGAGCAGAGATTTAAAATAAATGAATGTTTGATCTGTGTTGGCCTTAACATTGAAATATGTGATATCAGCCCCCCCGCTTGACTCCATTAGTCACAGCAAACAAGTGTGTAAAATTGTGCATCAAAATCCTACAAAATATGAGCAATAATCCGTGTCCACAGTGAGAGAGATGACTGAGGGAAAACCTATCAGCTCATGTCAGCCTTGCAAACAACTCAAAGTGAGTTTAAATAGTTTTAACTGAGCTTTGTAGCTCATCTGAAATTAAATGGGGGGAAAAGGTGAAATGAAATAGTTTTTCAAAGCAGTTATTGCACATTTTTATCCTGAAACGAGTCAGTGATTGATTATATCTCCCTGTGTCTACCACAAGGATTTGATTTTAGCTGCAACAAAAGATACGTTGCATGATAATTTGGTCTTAAAAAACCCCACATAAAATACATTCTTAGGACTAAATTATTTCAACGTGTTATCATTATATGAAAAATGCATTGTGTTAATTTATGCATCAGCTTCAGTACATCAGGACACTTTAGTTTGGCAGAACAACCTTTTCAAGTGTTTAGAAATTTCCTTCATTTTCAGCCCATAGATTATAGGATTGAACAGAGGGTGATACAAAAGGTACTGCAAAGTCATTATGAAGAGCACAACCTTTGAAAATTTGGATCCCAGTCGGACTATAATGACATCAAACGCACACAGACAGGAAAAACTGATTAAAACCAGCAGGTGGGGCAAACATGTCTGGGCTGCTTTGGTTCTCACTTCTTTGCAGCTTCGGTAGGATATCACAAGTATCCTGGTGTAAGTAAAAACTATGAAGAGCAGAGGGAAGAGGGCGGTCATGATCAAAGCAAAAGCACCAAACACAGACCGAACTTTGGAGTTCTCACAGTGGAGACCGTAGATTGCATTGTTACATATTATTCCATTTAGATTCAGTTTGCAGAATTTCATGTTAGAACTCAATATTACTTGCACTGCTGTCTGACAAGCAGGCAATATCCAAGCTAAGACAAGGGAGATATTCACGGTGGTTTTGGTCATGATGGTGGGATATTGCAGAGGTTTGCATATGGACACATACCTGTCGTAGGCCATGGCTGCCAGCAGCAAGAACTCCGAACCAGCCAGAGAGTAAAACATAAAGAACTGCAAGAGACAGGCTGACCACGATGTGACCTGTTTATGGGACAGAAAGTCTGCCAGCAGCTTGGGGTAGATGTTGGTGCTGAAAGCGACAGAGTTCAGCAGCAAAGCTGCGATGAAAACGTACATGGGCTCGTGGAGGTTTTTCTGTGTCCAGATAAGGCAAAAGATGGTGAAGTTACAGACAATTATTAAGATATACACAGTCAGCATGGTGACAAAATAAAGGTATCTTAATTTCTGCAGCTCCACGTGCCCGGCAAAAGTTATAAATGTCGTATTCAGATTAACATCCATTCATGTCTTCGATGGTCATGACACAGAAAAATAATACCAGGAGACCACATAATCAACAGAATCTACATTAATTAAGAATATATATACATATACGTTATTTTCCCCTTTGGTTGAATAAATGGAGCGCTTTGTGTTCGGCTGCCTCCAAAACCCAGAAAGTAAACGGTTTGAGTGAGTTCAAAGCTTTTTCTAAGGTTTGAGCGTTCTCCATGGAGCTCATTAAGCTCTCCGCCCAAAATAAAACTTTTTGAAACTTGGAGCCCCATAGTGGTGCCAAATTGTGTTTGGCACATTGGGCATACAGTAGCTGCTCATCTCCCCTCGAGAGGTAAAGTTTAAGCGGTAAAATATGTGCAGAGGTATTTGTGAACGTAGACTTATTTCAGAAGTGACCTCAGATGGACCGGCTATACACTGATATAAACTGATTACCAGTATGTAGTCTAAAGTGAGGACTAAACCCAAAAAATCAAAGTTCCAAGTCAATTTCCCTGTGTGTGAAAATGACTTTGAGCCACCACATTTACCTCATTCAATTTTTTGTAAAAAGAAATAAATGCTTGTTCTGAGTTTCTTAAAGTAAAGACATTTATTCACTAACAGACCAATGTGTCACAATCATAATGAAATTACCCGTTTTTTTCAGGCCCCAATGAGGTAAATCAGCTAATTTTAGGTTCAGCTGGTTTCAATTTAACCAAACAGATTATGTAAACAACAGATACATTTATAAAAACATTTTTAATAGTGGATATTTAGATTCAGGTACATATCATGGTTTAAAAAAAGTAACCCCAATTCCAGAATAACTTTCCCAAAGGCACAATAAGCTGCAAACTGATTGTCAGATACACAGTTATAAAACACAGAGCGCTATTTCAAGGCTAAAAACAAGAGAGAATGTGATTTTTAGCCTTTTAGGATTCATAGTAATGTGTTTTTTTCCAATATAAACATTTACAGCATAGTTTTATGGCGACTTCAAATCTGTGCAGGCTCATAAGAGACTACTCAGATTAAAGTAGTTGCATTTATGAGTTTTGCTGCTTAAGACGTTGTCTTTGCCAGCATGTTAAACTCTGCCACTCTGTTTTTAGCTCGGCCTGATCTGACTCAGATAGCAGCTTTGAAATATTTCCGTTTCTACGTTACACATCCAATCCAAGCTAAAAAGTTGCTTATTACATATTTACATTTTAGTCCCCTGAATGCAGTAAATAGGTCAAGTTTGCATCACAACGTGTCCTATTCAATGCAAGGATACAAATTCCTGTTTCTGTTTGATACTTTGTTAGATAATAATATTTCCCAATTTATGTGGCAATTATTTTGTTATTTTGTTTTTTTCCTTATCCACATTTTACAAATGCACTCTCACCTGCAAACAGTTATGTTTGAAATGTAAATCGTTAAGATTAATGCACATCCTGCATTTCAATAAATTGTTTGTGTAAACTGAACGCCGCCCCACAGGATATTGCGATTTGCAGCTATTGGTTGTTCACAACGGGCTGTGCACATCTGCAGGAGAACTCCTATCATCTGAACACTGAGGGGAAAATCTGTCAAATAGTTATTACTTATTCATACATTTTTTCTGTTTCTATTTTATTCAATTTAGACACCAGAGAGACGTGTAAACTGCTTGATTAAGTTTAAAAACAAAACTAGATACCACAGTCTTTATTAATATGACAGATCAGGTGTCCAAGTAAAATAACAGCATGGAACAAAAGTGTAGAAGTACAGCTTAAAAGAGACATAAAAGAGGAAATAATACAATATACAAGGTAGGTGGTGCAGCCATCAAAGGAAACAATTTCTCATTTTTGACTGCACAATATTCAAATTCAACTTAAAGAGTTACTTGACCTCAATACAAACCCATCCAGTTCAAACTGGAGTTCCTGTGACCTTTTCTGTATTGATTATTAAAATTTCCCTGATGCCAAAATGTTCAAAAATCAGATTTTATATGTGACCAACAAAGCTGTAGATTTGGTTTCTGTATCACATGATGTGTGCAAACACCAACAACAATAACATTGTTTATCTCATTTTTTTTCTCCTGAAACAGTATTTCAGACAAGCTGACCATCACAATTCCTTTTCCTCTCTACAGGGTTTGAGTGTATGATTTATGGGCGTACATATGTTCTTTGAGTCAGTCTGTGCAGCAACAAGAGGCTAAAAACTGTTTGGAAACAGGCAGAAATATCACATTCTGTAAAGTGCAATGAAAATGCAACATGTCAGGAACACGCTGACCTTTGGCCTTAACAGCAAATGAAAGGCTTCTAATATTTACACCTCACCTCAATATCAATGCACTTCTCAGTCAGATTGTTCTGGGTCGACTCAACAGCTGCGTTAGATGTTTGTGAATTTTTTTCATTTTCAGCCCGTATATGAATGGATTAAACAAAGGGTGATACAGAACTATTTGCAGTGTCATGATCACTCGCGCCGTTTTGGGGAAATCGGAGTCAACGCGAACAATACTTATGTCGTACACGCTCAAACAAGTCAGGCTGAATAAAACAAATAAGTGGGGTAAACAAGTCTCAGCAGCTTTTTTCCTCACGTCCTTACAACTCCTATAAGAAATGATCAGGATTTTTGCGTAAGAGAAAACAATAAAGACTATCGGAAGGATTACGACATCTAATATCGCGAAAACACCGTATATGGCGATCGATCGTGACTTGACGCACTGAAGGGTGTAAATGGCATTGTTGCAAAATATTCCTCTCAGAGTGAAATGGCAGAGCTGAACGTCTGGGCTGTTTAGCAGAATGATCGGAATAGCAGAATGCAAAGCGGGCACAAACCAAGCCACGGCGAGGAAGCAGGCGACGGTGGTGTTGGTCATGATGGCGGGATATTGCAGAGGTTTACAGATGGACGCGTGCCTGTCGTAGGCCATGGCTGCCAGGAGGAAGAACTCCGACGGGCCCACAAAGTAGAAAACGTAAAACTGGAAGAGGCAGGCGGGGAACGATATGATTTGCTTTTCCGATAAAACGTCCATCAAGAGCTTGGGGTAGGTGCTCGTGCTGATGAGAACACAGTTGAGCAGCAAAGCGGCAATGAAGACATACATGGGCTCGTGGAGGTTTTTGTGAACGCAGATCAGGTACACGATTGTTATATTACTACACATTATCAAAATATAAGCAGTAAACATTATGAAAAAATAAACATATCTATACCGACTAATTTCCACATACCCATCTAGAATTATATATGTACTATTCAACTCTTTATCCATTATTTAAAAAAACTAAAAACACAATCAAAATCCACTAAAGTTGTAGACTGTAGCTTCCAGCCACCAGGTGTTTCATCTATTTACCTAAATAGTGCATGTCGAAAAAGTGCTCGTTCGCTGGTCTTCAAAACCGACAGAGGGAAACAACCGCGTCTGTGGAAAGATATCATCGTTTTGTGTTTGGGGTACACGCCTCCAGATACATATTCTCTCAAGGTTTATGACATCAGTGTTCAGCATATTCTTTGTGATTCCACAACACCATGTCTATGAGCAGAGCACTAATCCAACACACGTGTGCATGTGGGCCAGTCCCTAAACGCACCACAGTCAAATTATTGAGAAATATGGATTGAAGGATGATTTAAAGAGACAAAACAAGGCAAAAAAGATTAATCTTTGAAGATGAACTTTTAAAAAATCTAATTTCTAATCCTGTTGACATATCAGTGGATTGTGTGTCATGTGTTGGAGGACTTAGGGTTAGGGTATAACTAATATAACTATTTATATAGTATGCTAGAATTAGCTATGCTATAAATAGTTAATTATAACTAGTTATATAACTAGACTATTAGTTATAGTCTAGTTATAACTTATTATTTGTTGAAGCAATTTCCACTGCTTGATGCTATTTTCTAACAAAACTAAGGAAATGGTGGAAACTATAAAGGGAGTAAATTTAAGCTTTTATAAAATATGTATAATGTTACTGGACCGATGAAACCAGAAAACCACAAGAGGGACAAGCAAAAAAAAAATCTGGGGTCAGTGACCTGGGAAGGGAGAAATTAACTCATTCTTTCTCTTTCCAGAGGGAAATAAAAAGAATGGCAGGTGAAGTCAAACTCAGGGTTGTGGAGGGAGGCCAGGATTAAGACAAATGTGCAAAGGAAAAAAAATTAAATAAGGCCCGAAAACAAAGATTGTCTCAATCGATCAATTGAAAGGTCCAAAGAAATCCCTCCCGGTACTTTGAGGGGAACTGAAGCAAATGTATGACCTCCAGGATATTGCCTGTGCGTGGTGTGATTGTTCTGCTCAGTGTTACATTTTACATAATTTTATTAAATCCTTTCATAGCTGTTGGACACTGAGAACAGAAGCTACACTTTTGTGTATTTGAGCCACTTTTTGCCCGTTTGTTCTACAGTGATAAACTCCAGTGTGTTTCCGTGTGTTGTAGAAAGTCACAGAAGTCTGAACGTGACCACAAACTTAACAGAAAGTAGTCCTAAAGTTGTGAAAAATGCTGTTTTGATCGGAGATGTGTGTCTAACATACAGAAAAAAAACAATGTCCTCAATGGCCTCTGGAGGCAAAAGCGCCACTCATGATCACAGGCTTCAGAAATGAATGTGAGTCCATGAAGTGATGTAAGGATACTGTCATGGGTGTCATTAGAGTCCTCTTCTGTGACCGCCCGTGTGTTCCCTTAGCGGCGGTAAACAACAGGCCAGGCCTCAGAGGAGCGGCCTGACTACCAGCTGAAAACAGGTCATTATGACCCGGTGGCAACAGTCCGCCGGACTCACGGGAGGATCCCGGGGTTACGTCCGTCTGCAGCCTACCGTTTGTGTCAAAAGCCATCCCACCTGATGATGCAACACCTTACAGACACCGAAAGAAAACTTTGATACAACTTTTAATGGAAATTGTTGAGGAAAGTTAGACAAAATGAAGCTGTCAAAGCAGCAGAAAAAGTGTAATTTAGGTTGTAACAAGGTTTTTTGCTCAAAAGAAATGACATCTATTGAAGATGCGTGTAAACAAGAGCAAATGGATTTATCTTAAAAGAAGCAGAGACTCAGACACAAACACACACACACATTTTCCATGCTTTTTGTTATAGTTTTAAGACTTCTGACATGCTGTGTTCAGGCCCCCGGAGGAGCTCAGGCCTGCAGATTTCAAACGTTTCCCTGCTTTTTGACGCCTGCTTTAGATTAAATGCTCTGCATTCACCTGTTAACTGCACTGATGTAACACAACCAAAATGTGAAATGACTGTAAAAAGGCCACAACTCTGAGTCACATTTCAGGACAAGGAATGATTAAAAATATTAGAACAGATCTGAAGCACTAAGTTTTAGCGTTCAAAGACTTTAATACACTGAAAGCTACCAGCCCATAATACAGAACTAGTTTACCTACACACATACACACACAAACACACACTGACTGAAAACCTTTAATATAGGGAAAAGCCTTTCATAAGTTCTGGGCAAACCATTACTTTATATGAAAGATCTTTAGCAGTACATATCAAATGTTAATGTATTTGAGAGGTTTTTACACTTAAAAAGTATGTTTTTCACCTGAAATATCAGGTGATTCACTAAGTGTGCTCCTAAAGTTAACTAAGGAGCTGCTTGTGCTTCACTTTCTGCATATCGCTTGGTAGACATGAGCGTTCTGACTGGATAGAAACAACACAACAACCATCTGTGTGCGGTTACCTCGTGCTACTAGTTTCAAGTTTCAGTTTCTAACTTCTCTGAGTTGAAATTGTCCGAAAATGGGACACAAGCTTAGTTTTTATGTAAAAGCTTTCCAGTAGCGTAAATGATGGGCTCTGGGATAAAGAAGCATTTCCCTATTTTTCAGGAAATTGTCTCAGTCGTTAATGATACAGGAAATCTTTTCATGTGTGTATCCAAGCTGATTCGGTCCCTAGTGCCCCTCTTCCTATTGCACCATCGCTCAAAAAAAAATAAAAATAGATGCAAACAGCTTCTAGCTGGAAAACCAGCTGGACTACACCACTGTTGCTTCATTAAACTTTAAAAAAAACTGGACTGTAAAGAAAAAAACAGCAAAGTTTGTTACCGCCTCCTCGGCGAGGAGTTTGATCAAATCCATAAATGAAATCCACTTCAGAGCTGCCACTTCAACGCTCATCCGAGTCGTTGAACTGTGAGTTGATTCAGAATGCCTCTGAAAGGAGGGTTCCTCACCCTGAATGTAATATGTGCTGGTTTTTCTAAGCTTTTTTAACAGGTATTGAGCTTTTTGACCCGTTTTCATGGACGGCCATTTGAATGACAGCTCTATAACTCTCGGAGGGTATGTAGAGGTGGAAAAATTCCGGTATCTATATTTTTGGGTAATTTTCATAGAATATATTCTGATACTTTGCAGCAATTTGATCATTTTTTGTCTCATCATGATTCACAGAAACCTCCACGAGCCCATGTACACTTTCATTGCCGCTTTGCTAATGAACTCTCTTCTTTTCAGCACCTCAATCTTCCCAAAGCTTTTGCTTGACTTTTTATCGATCCGACAAACTGTATCGCACACGTTTTGCCACTTACAATATTTCCTTTTCTACACGACAGGGGGTGCAGAGTTCCTTCTGTTGGCAGCCATGGCTTATGACCGATACGTGTCTATATGTAAACCTCTGCAATATCCCGTTATCATGAGCAGAACCACCGTGTGGCTCTTCCTGGTTTCGGCTTGGTTCCTGCCCTCCGCTCTGCTGACCGGGTCAACCGTATTAAGCGCTAAACAGCAGCTTTGTGATTTCACGTTGAAGGGAATCTTCTGTAACAATTCCGTTTACAAACTCCACTGCACGACCTCGGGGATTTTATCCGTGTACGGCGTGATCATTTTGCTCAGTGTTGCGTTTTTCCCCACGCTGTACATCATTTTCACGTACGCAAAGATACTAAAGATTTCATTCCAGAGTGGAAAGGCCGTCCGGGCCAAAGCTGCCCAGACCTGTTTACCTCACCTCCTGGTTTTGTTCAACTTCTCACTGTTCTGTGCGTACGATGTTATCGTGCTCCGGCTGGAGTCGGATATTTCAGACACGGCGCGTTTTGTTATGACCCTGCAATTATTAATGTATCACCCTCTTTTTAACCCAATCATCTACGGACTGAAAATGAAAGAAATCTCTAAACACCTCAAAAAGTTGTTGTGTGGCATAAAATCGAGATAAAAAAGTATTTTGTCGAAGAAAGAGATTGTACGTTGAATCGTTTTTTATCATGCTAAGAAACTAAATGCATGCAGTGACATATAATGTATGTCCAAAAACATGAAAAGACAGTGGTTAATTATGTCTCCTAAGTCTTTGCTCATCGTTGTTTCAAAAGGCAAAGAACTGTTTCAATTTAATGTTGAAATGTGTATCATTTGATCTGAATGGAAAATCATTTGTAAATCATTTGGATTTTATTAGCAAAACTTATAATGTGAATATTTTCTGCACAGTCTTTAATGAGGATAAGGTTTAAAAAATGTGAGTTTATCCATAAGAAGCAATTCTTATGTATAAAAATGTCTGAAGACTTTGTTAGAAGGGAAGAATAAAGAGTCTGTTATTCTATACTTGGCCTGACTAACACAGTTAAGTATCAAAAATCCATATTTCCACTGATTCATGGCCTCACAGAGTCTCTTCTGTTTGGCATCTTGCTTTTCCATTAGATGCCCACTCACTTGTATCACACCTAACTCAGATACTTTCTAACAGACTCTTTTGAACTAGTACTGATCATAAGGAACTACTTCCGGCTGATAATATGATTGGGATAGACCTTTATGTGCCACCACAAAATAATTCAGCTTTCTGTGGTATTGTAAAAGGTATTGTTTTGTACTCTGGGTGCATTTGAGCCACTGTCTGCCCTTTTGTTCTACAGTGAAGAACTCAAGAGCGTGTTTCAGTGCATTGTAACATAAAAACAAAGAGAGTCACAGAAGTCTGAACGTGACCACAAAGTTCACAAAAGTGTCCTAAAGTTGTGGAAAGTGCTGTTTTGATTGGATATGTGTGTTTAACATAAAGGAAAAAAAGGTTCCTCAATGGCCTCTGGAGGCAAAAGCGCCACTCATGATCACAGGCTTCAGAAATGAACGTGAGTCCATGAAGTGATGTAAGGATACTGTCATGGGTGTCATTAGAGTCCTCTTCTGTGACCTCCCGTGTGTTCCCTTAGCGGCGGTAAACAACAGGCCAGGCCTCAGAGGAGCGGCCTGACTACCAGCCGAAAACAGGTCATTATGACCCGGTGGCAACAGTCCGCCGGACTCACGGGAGGATCCCGGGGTTACGTCCGTCTGCAGCCTACCGTTTGTGTCAAAGGCATCCCACCTGATGATGCAACACCTTACAGACACCGAAAGAAAACTTTAACTTTGACTGGAAACTGTTTGATGAATTGTTGGATGAAATGAAACTGTCAAAGCAGCAGATAGAAGGAGTGTGATTTGGATTGTAACAAGGCGATTTTTTGCTCAAAAGCAATAAAGAAATGAAATATTGAAAATAAATATTGAAGACTTAGACTGTTACTAACACACACACTCACACACACACACATCTATATATATATATATATACACAAATATATATATACACATATACATACATATATTCAATGGACACATTCTCTGTTAATTTACAAAATAGGCTTTTTCTTATAGTTGTACAACTTCTGTGCAGTTCATGTGACATTTATGGCCCTTTAGGAAAATGGGCCCACCTAAAGGTGGCAGAAAAGTTAATGGACATGCTATGTTCAAGATCCTGACGCACAGATATGGAACTCAGTCCAGGTTTTAAACATTTCCCTGCGTCTGCACACCTGCTTCATTCTTTCTTTGTTCATTTACAGAAGGCTAATTTGTAGTTGGAGTGACGCCATAGACATTTTTAGCCTAAACACAATAGCTCACGGCCTGTTTTAACCCTCAACCAACCCTCTATAACAGCAAACGCAACATTATGGGGGTAAAAATAAAAGCACACAATAAAAGCGGAAAACAAGTACTATCTATTGCTCTTTATTATTACTTATTATTTTGTTCAGTTATGTCGAATTTTCAGTCAGGCATCTGACACTTTGATTTATTAATGGCATTTTATCTGTAGTTTTTTACACAAAAGCAAAGATGGAGCAGACAGGATCACTTCCTGATGTTCTGATGTGGTAAAAAACACTTCCCAGCTACGGAAATTTTCCACCTCAATTAGCTGAACTTTACTGAAAAGCATAATGTTGCAGTTTATGTTCATTTGTTTTCCTTTTTTTCACATTCATTTATGTAGTTTTAAATTATTGTGATAAATGATATACTCAAAACACAAAGGCACATTTTCATTTTTATTATTATTGCAAAAAAAGAGCAAATACTTAAACTTTCTAAACGTCAGACAAGCAATATTTTTTGTTGTCACTTAGAACAATATAATCAATCTAAAACAATTTAAGTAATCTTAATTTCTACAACAATGAGTATTGTTCAATTTTAGGTGTCTCATAACGCTGAAAATCATTACAGAAAAAGGAAAGACAGAATGTGAAAGTCTTTGCTGAAGGCCTAAAGACTTAAATTTGTTTCTTTCTGTACTTTGGTTTTATCTAGTTTCAACTAGATTGAATACAAGCATCAAATTTGCAGAAATGTGTCCCCAACATGCATGCAGCTGTAATGTGATTTATTATTGTTTCATCATCAACAATATTAAGCTAATAAAGTCAAAAGTGAAACTACACTTCACTTAGAATAGATTTGTCTGAAAGAGATGCTAAGCAGATCTTATATTGATGAGACATTGTCTAAAATGAATATGTTAATCAAAGCAATAGAGATTAATAAATGCATGTATAATTAAATATGTTGATATCAATTGATTTAGATCATGCAAACTGAGCCACTGAATTCAAATTTAAAAAGCATCAACTCCTCATGAAGATATATATACCCCAAAATGTAAGAAATTCACCAAAATATGCTAAACAAAAAAAAAAAAAGAGTTACGCATCTGGAAATCTACATTTTCACCATGGTACGTCCTTGCATGCAGCAATAATTAGTAAATTAATTTAAAATCAGTTATCACTCAGATATGTTTTGATAGTTATCTCAGTATTTTTCAGACAAAATGGGGCTTGAGTCTGCATGATTTGCATCATTTAAAAATGCTCCATCTGCTGTGTGCATACATGTTGACAGTAAGATTAAACTCATCGTTTTCTCCTCATCTGAATCAAAACAATAATTCTTTGACGGATCTTCGTCAGTTTGAATCCGTAAAGCAAAGGATTAACGAGAGGGGTCACAAAGACGACGGCAATAGCGACAAAGTTTTGAAAGCTTTTGGGACTTTTCGAGGGGTAGCGCATGTGCATGAAATCAGACACGACGATGACGAAGAAGGTGAGCAGCTGGATTAAATGAGGCGTGCACGTCTGCATGAACTTGGCCCGGTCCTTTTTGGACCTCAGGCACGTTCTGACCATGTTCATGTAGGTCCAGACGACGAAGAACCAGTGTAAAGCGTAAATAGCGAGCGTGGTAAAGGCGTAAGCGCTGTTGATGGACGTGCTGGTTCCGGGGCAGGCCAGCCTCACCAGGATCCAGTTGATGCAGAAAAGCCTGGGGACGCTGGTGCTGCAGAAGGTCAGCCGAGTGGTCAGGAAGATGTTGATGGAGAAGATGCAGAGGGGCGTGAGCCAGGAGAAGCACACCAGCTGGGCCAGCTTCCTCTTCGTCATGATGGCGCGGTACTGCAGGGGCAGGCAAATGGCCAGGTAGCGGTCGTAGGCCATGACCGCCAGGATGGACGTCTCGCTGCAGAGAAACGAGTAGAGCACGAAGGCCTGGCACAGACAGTCGCCGTAGGAGATGACCTGAGAGGAGGATAGCAGGTCCAGGAGGAACTTTGGGTAAAAACCCGCCGTTCCGTAAAGCCCATTAATGCAACAAACACACAACAGGATATACATGGGCTCGTGTAAGCTTTCATCTAAAAGTATGGTAATAACAAGCGACACGTTTAGAAAGATAATAGCGCAGTAACACAGTAATGTGAGAGAAAAGATGGCGGTCGGGTGGCTGATCGTTTCGTTGAACGCAGACAGAGTGAAAACGGCTTCCATTTTGTGGCTGAAAAGCTGCGCTGGTTCTTTTGCCCTGAGGTGCGCCGGGCCATTCTCCCCCCTCGTTTGCAGCTGCCCACTATTCCTCTGCCCTGTATATGTGTGCACAACACCAGCACTGGGAATTCTCTTCTCATGATTGTGGGGATGGTCTCGCAGACGGGAGCCCCTGACAACAAAACAAATCGCCAAATGTATTCAGAGAAGCAACTGTTGCTGCCCGTTAACCTGGGGGGGGGTGATAGGGTCATCTCCCTGCAGGTTTGAGTCCATCTTACTACAGAGGGAAATGACAAAAAAGAAAGAAACATTAAAAACGAGTTTCTTTAGATTAGAAAAACAAAAATGAAACTCTAGAAAAAGGATGAAACAACTGTTATGAGAAGATTTGAGTTAAACCTTTTGAAAGGAGATGGCCTCTTCTTTCTATAAAAGAAGAACATAGCAGCAGGCCTTGGGTTTAAGGACTTCTTCATACAGGTCAACAACTATAATGTAAGAATTAGTTAAACCACCAAGAAAAAGAAGTCCAGTTGCACTTATTCAATATCTTCAAATTACCCCAACTGGTGTAACTGCGCACAAGTAGCTATATTTCCTTTGACTTTTTGTCCAAAACACAGTAAATACAACAGAATGTCTGAAAAGAAAAGAGATAAACACAGACGGATAGATAGATAGATAGATAGATAGATAGATAGATAGATAGATAGAT